TTGAAACTGTGTGCTTGGACGTAAATATAATCAAAATATCTTTCAAATGAGGTATTACATGACTTTACTTTCAATTAGAAAATTTAAAGATAGTAACGCCCTCTATTTTACGTCTCAAGTAAAGTGCATCACATTATAACAAAAATATCATAATGTTTCTCTAATTTCACATCGTTTTGGTTTCATGTCTCTATCTTCTTGCATTTTAAAACCATACTACAAACTGCTTTCATTTGACATCGCAGGATTGCATTAGAAAAATTCTAACTTCCAATTTAACCTTTGCAATATATATAACTTATAAATATAAATAAAGCTGGTAACCGATAAGTGCATACACACTTGTTTCGGTAACGATAGTAATTCCTATTAAAGAAAACGGGATGAAAAAATTAAAATATATGTGTACATAATAAAATATTAAGAATAAATAGTATTTAAAAAATATTAATAAAAGAAAATATTATAAATTAAAAACATAAACTATAACATACCATAAAATAACGTATAATAAGTAGACAAAATGGATCAGGTAAACTACGTATAAATAATTTTATAAATCAAAATAACTGACAATAGCATTCCTGTTAATTTCAAAAATATAATTTTTTAAAAGTTTTTTAAATTTGTGTCTATTGTTTATTTGTTTAAGTGGCTCAGGAAGGCTATTATATAGTTTAGGTGCTATGAATAATTGGGAATGTTGCGTAAGAGTTTTAGACATGAATGGAACACTAAAAAAATGTTGTTGGCGAGTGTTATAACTATGTGAGGGAGTTGTAGCAAATTCTTTTTTTTATCTTATGTTGCTTTCATAAAAATATAATTGCCTTACATCCATAATTTGGGATTCACAATATAGAGTATCAGAAGGATATCGGGATTTTTTGTTATAAATAATTTTTAGGAAGCGCCGTTTGATAACTTCTAATGGTTGTATATGGGTCTTTAAAGCACATGTTTCTTATTGCCAAATTTGGGTACTAATGCTCAAATTACTTGAAATATTCTTTGTTTCTGTCTTACAAATTTTACCGTTTTATTATGTTTCGTCTTTTTCAAATTTAAATTTGATATTGTTTTATCACGAGAGAAGCGCCTTCTCGTCGAGACGAGAGAACAGTTTTCTTTCTCCCTACGAGACGAGACGAGAGAGACCACTCTCTTGTCTCGTCTTGTCTCGCGGCATCACTAATTATCTACAACCAAATGTGTTCTTATTCTACCTCCAATAATTTAATTCCCGATAAACAAAGTGGCTTTAGGCGTGATTTATCTACGGGAACAGCATTATCAGTTGTTACTGATGATATATTAACGGCTCTAGATAAAGGTTTTAATTCGGCTTTAGTTTTATTAGATTTTTCTAAAGCTTTCGATACTATTAATCAGGAATTAATTTGTGCTAGACTGAAATATTTTTTCTCTCTAATAATTCTTTGTTTCTCATTTAGTCTTATTTACTGGGTAGGTCACAAAAAAAATGTTGAAGGAAAAACCTCTACTAAAATTGACGTTTTATCTGGAGTTCCACAAGGGTCAATACTAGGACCTCTTTTATTCATTATTTATACTATTGATATTATTAATTCCATTGATAAATGCAGTGTTCAAGCTTATGCTAACGACACACAAGTGTATTTACATTTCAGTCTCTATAATGTTAATGATTATTACTTATTATTATTATTACTTAATTTTTGACTTCAAACAATTCGATCATGATTTGAAATTAAATTCTAACAAATTGTGTTTTGGGAGTAACAAGGAATTTCTCAAAATAAATTTTAAAATCCCTATATCTAATAAACAATTAGAAATAGTAGACAGTGCTAGATATTTAGCTATTATTATTCATAATGATCTTCGTATTGCGATCATATTAAAAATGTATTAAAAAAGTCTTATACTTCCCTAAGATTATTATACAGTAATCGCCATTTTCTTAATATTAGGTTGAGACACTAGTACTCAGTAACTTCAATTATTGTGACTATATTTTTTGGCCTTGTTTATTACAGCGTGAAAAAAGAAGGATCCAGGTTTTAAAAAAATTTGGTCGTAAATTCTAATTTTCTATTAAAAGAAAAGAATATATTTCGCTTAAACTTGTTGAATATAAATGGCTAAATATGAAGAACCGTTTTAAACTCCATTTAGGAAGTTTTGTGCATAGAATAGTCTATCAGTCGAAACCTTTAATTTTAAAAAATAAAATATTTCCTTACTTCTTTATCAACAGTAGAAATACTGGTTATAGCAATACTTTATCTATACCTAAATATCGTACAGCCATGTTTCAGAAATCTTTCACCTACAATGCTATAAAATTATATAACTTTTTGCCTACCTTTTTGATAAACAGAAATTTTTTTTTGAATTGCTGATTTGCCCATGGTATTTGATATTTAATAAATGATATGTTTTAATAGGAGGACTATTTTTTCTTTGTTACTTTATTCTATAAATATTGTTTGATTATAGTATTGCAAGTTCACTTAAGGTCAGTCACTATTAGTGCCGCTCTTATTTTGACATATGAGCATGCGCAGATCACTAACTGTAATAAAGATTGTGCCTGTCCTTAATAGAGAGACATTGCAAATTTATATAAAGCCAGCCACTAATAGTGACATCGTAATTAGAGTCAAATAAATTCCATGCTAAAATCAGACTTATTGCAAACCTGAAATTTTGACATTAGAATCCTCGTCCTTATACTTATTTCTAACCTTATAAGGTTTAAATGACGAATATATTAAATATTTAATATTAAAAACTTCTAACGGATACAAATGTCGCCGAGCGCATCCGAAAGCTATAAAGTCGCCACTACCTGCTGCCCTTAAACATCCACAATTATTAAGGACAGGCACAATCCTTAATAAAGTCAGTTTTAGAACATAAACATCTGCGCATGCTTAGATGTCAAATTAAGAGCAGCACTAATAGTGACTGACCTTAAGTGAACTTGCCTAAGTACCTATTGATCAGGGGGGCTTATAACATATGCGCGTTATATCAACAGATTAGTGCGCAACACATCCGCATATATTAGTCCGTTTTACAATAATAAAATGATATTTAAATTTAAAGTACACTGAATAATTGAATAATTCAAATATATTTCGCTTAATAACAAAAGTAATACACGGTAAGTATTGTTTTAAAATTATATATTTATATAAATACGACAATTATTTGAAAAACATGAATTAATCAATTATTTGTACAATGTAAATCTGACTTTGGGATTGTCACCCGTTCGAACCGATACAATAACAAAACTGAACAAAACAATATGGTTATGGTTGCTGAATAAAATGTGATAAGTACTTTTACTTTTATTTAATTTTAGTTTTAGTTAAACATGTTAAATTTAAAATTAAGCAAAGATATTTTGATGTTTTAACATGTGTTTAGCAGGTCCTGTTCGTAATAAATTCATAATATCTAATTGTAATAGCGTTGTTTGTATAAAGGTAAATAGTACAATTTACTCTCCAATTTATGCTGTACATTTTAAGAACACATTTTTTTTTATTTCCTTCCGATATTAAGCAAGGAACTAAATGATGCCGCATAAACTTCATTCCACTTGCGAAAAACCATTTATAGGTTACAAGACTGTAAATTGGCTTTACCTTTGGTACCCTTGAAAGCTAAATTAACAGTAAAGAGTAATACTAAAGTAATATTGTTATCATACCGTCAAACAAATTACCAGTGAAAAGAAAGTTACATTCGATTAAAATTTCATCCAATGAAATATAATTATTACCTAAAAAACAATAATTAGCTCTTGGATTTTTAAATCAATCCAGTGAATGGTTAGCTCCAAGGGAGAAAAAACTCTATTTTATAATTAGAAAACAGCAAAGTAAAATTTGCGAATCAAAGAAGGACCTCAAAGCTTGATCCCGCAGACATCTGTTTTTTTTAAAAGTACTACATCTAATTAAAAGATGAAGGGACTACCATTATTAATTATAAATTATTATAATGAAAGTATAAAACTGTGACAATGTCTAAAAGAAAAAAGATATTCAAAATGATATGAAGTTAAAATACTACTTTGAATTTTTTCTGTTTCAGATTATATGGATGGTTCTCCTTAATGTGTTTTGTTACCTACCCAAGTTTACAGAAAGTTTTAGTTGTTTTATTAAATTATTGTTTATTTAGAAAATTTATTATAAATTAGTTTTAATGATATAATAGATAATACAATTATTTTATATTAAATTATTTTACCCTTCCTAAAATTATGGGTCATAAAATTTTACATTTTGATTGGCATTTTGTTACATCTTGCACCTTGTCTGTGTTGTAAAAAATGCCAATAAAAATGCAAAATTTTAATTATACTAATTAAAGTAGAGCTACAAACTAAATCCCTCTAATTTTTAAATAAAATAAAATATGCAGGTATCTATATTACCGACTGAGAAATAGTTGGACAAATCCCTTACCGGTGGCGCTGCAAGCAAACCTGTTGCCACATTTCTTCAAAGAAACGGCAACTCTTAATTATCCTTCCTCCATGCTATTGATTGTTGCAATAAACACAACATAAAATTTAGAAATATTTATTGACTTAAAATACATATTTTCGTACCACACAAATAGTCTTATAAATAATCCATAAAATACTTAAAACCTATGTAAAACATAAAAACACAAATAAAATTGCGATAAATAAAATCAAATTCTTGACAGACACACAAAAGAGCATCCGCAAATCGAAATTACTACGCTTCTATCAAGTAATAGGTAGTTTTCAACATCCGCAATAAAAAATAGTTCCAACTTGGAAACGCCATATTTTTGAATCTTGACTATAATCCTCAATTTTTTTTTTCCAAAAATCAAGAAATACCTATCTGTAGTTTTATTTAAAACATATGCCAAAACTGTAATTTTGTGACTCTACAGTGATATGTCACCTAAAATTCTTAAAATTATGACAAAAAACTATAACAGCATGTTTTTTTTTCCAGTAAATATAATACATTCAGATGTACCTCCTGGATCATCAAAAAATGAGATTTGCAAAAATGAGATGAAAAGTATAATAAAATTACCGAATAAACGACCACGATCCGCAAATTCTATTGGACAAGTTGAAAAATTTAACTTTGATATATTAGAAGATAAAAATAATGAAAATACATTGAAAACTAAGAAAATAGAAGGGGCTATTAAGAAAATTGGAAAAGGTAAGTTTTTTTAATCTAAGTTAAATTCTTTTATAACACAGAATTGACTTTAAACTTAGCTATCAGGAAAAATATACTCATTTTTTATTTTTTATATTTTCGACATTACAAATGGACCAGTCATATGGCACCCTGCAGTCCAGCATCGGACTTTAAAGTTACGATTTAGTTTATAATTATGTTTGTAAATATCTCAACAAAGAAATTGGTATAAGTACCTAAACATTATACTTTTATATCATTTATATATAAAAAAGAGGAGCTTGTCTCGGACGGATTTTTATGGTTTTTACGGATTTTTACGGATTTTTACGGATTTTTACGGATTTTTACGGATTTTTACGGATTTTGATGGATTTTGACGGATTTTCACGGATTTCACGGATTGTTTCGGATTTTGACGGATATTTACCAATGAACGGATTCAAAGAAAAACATAAAATTTTAAACTTAAGCTTTACTCCATCCTGCGTTTAGCTAATCAGATTTTAGTCATAGACATCTGCTTTATGGAATATATCTGTTATTTAAGCTTAGAAAAGAAAATTATTCAAATAAAAGTTGCTTGTAATAATATTCTCTATGATTTTGGTATTTTTCATAATTTTACTAAAATGGTCCGCATTTGATGAATTTGATGAAAGGAACAAATTTCGAATTTTTGAGAAAATTTTTCAAATAAGTTACTTGAGATATCATTTTATATAATTTTTGATTCACACAGGATTTTTCTAAAATGGACCGTAATGGAAAAATTTAAGGAAAAGTGTAAAAGAAAAACGGTTCGAGTAAGATATTTGTGAAAAATGTATGTATTTAATTCATCCTCTAAACGTTAACAGGAGTGATAAAATAAATTCATAATTTTCCCAAAATGGTCCGTATTCGAGAAATTTGACAAAACGTACAAAATTAGAATTTTTAAGAAAATTGTTCAAATAAAAGTTGCAATTTTCAATCATTTTTGTCCAATACATGATTTCTCTAAAATTCATCGTATTCGTAATATCTTCTATACAGGGTGATACTTTTTTTAACTGTGTATACGACTATGTACTTAAAAGAAAAACTTTTTCAAACAACTCAAAAATAAGGGAGATAAGCTAATTTAAAAAGTCGAACAATATCTGATAAATTTTTTTGTTGGTGATAAGATTTTTTATGTCGAGCAGTGATATCTCAATTTGTTGTCAGTTCATCGTGTGATAGATTTAGGTTGCTTTGGGATTGTTTAAAAATAAAAATGGCTCATGTGTATGAAAATAATTTTGGCGTTACTATAAAAAAGTTATTTGAAAATATTTCTTTTAAGTAGTTATATACAAGTACCAACTCAGAAATCACCCTGTACATAAATAGGCAAAGACGAAATAGTTCAATACCATTTTATCTTCTGTTTGTGAACAGATTTTCTTTTTTAAATTTTTGTTTAGTAGCTATTGACGAGCTTTAGCATAGATATATAACCAAGACAGATAGGATTATTTACAAAATTTTTGAAGAATGAACGATGGTGTCCGCGGTAGAAACTCAATAATCGGATTGAACATTGATGCCAAGTTTACGTGCTTTTAACTATAGATATATATAACCAATACAGATTACACAATTTCTGAAGTCAACGCGGATGATCCTCGACAGAAATGCAATATTTGGATAAAATTAAAATATTGATGCCAAGTTTGCGATGTTTTTAACTGTAGTAATGTTATTGCGTTTGCTTGAATTACTGTTAGGTCTTTAAATTGTCCAAAAAAAATAATGTCTGACAACAGCGGAAGTAGAGTAGACCGCAATTGTGGAGGGTCGTATATTGTTTCATTCATAAAAAATCCTTCGATACAGTACTAGTCCAGGGGCCAGTGAATTTTTTCGTACTTGTTTTCCCGGTCCGTGTATATTTAAATAATCTATTTCCGGTGAACTGTATATTTAAAATGGAATGCTAATCTATTAACAAGTGAGATTGTTTACAAAGTGTCTTTGTATGCCTATTTTGCCCATTTCATGTATTTGTTTTTAAATCATGTTAAATTACTATTTTTGAAACTCAACAAGGAGAAAATCCAATTAACTCTTCCGTTGTGTATATATATAAGAAAAATTAACTGAAGTTTTATTAGTAAAGTATTAATACTAAAATTTTAATGTAATTTACAGAAAATAGCTAGGTATGTATTTGTTTTTAAATAATTTGATAATTTATGAAAAAAGGGAGTAAAAGTGAAATGACCAGTGGCCAGTAGGTCAGTCAATACAAAGTATCATATATTTCTATTATAACATAACTAAAATACCTACATCTTCTAATCATAAGGACATAAGTTAAAAACCATTTTAATATATGCATTAGAATAAAGTAATAATAACTTAAAGAGACGAGGTCTTAAAGTAATAGCCGGTACAGCATGTTTTTTAAACGTTTCCTCATTGCTGCTAGAATTAAATCACTTACTATGAAATGTGCTCTAAAAACGGCATTTATAGCAGTCAGTGTTCAGTCTTAGGATCTCTTCCTAAAGCCCTCATCCAAGTTGCATACATAAAAAAAATAATATAAAAAAAAACATATTATATACCTATATAGTTTTCGGTTCTGGGTGCCCTAAAAGAGGACACAGCCGACAATTTGGCTCAGATAGCTAAAACCCAAAAGTCACTCCCCGAACCAGGACGTATTGCTATCCTTTTAAGTAAAAAATAACTACAAATAACTTACCTGAAAAATGAAGGCGTCTAATTTTACAACAAAAAAACCATACACTTTTTCCTATTGTTGCAAGCACCCGATGACGATTAGGTAGATATCAACTAGAAGTATGTACTTAATGGTTATAAAGCTTATTTTAACACAAAAAGAATAAAGCACTAGTCGAAAAGCAGCAATCAAATATAAATAGACCACAATATTAAAATTCAAATTAAAAACTATATAAAAGACAAATACTCTAAAAGCGCAAAAGATCAGAACCAAATAAAATGAATAACCATAATAACCTAAAAATCACACTAAAATTGCAAAAACTATTACTGTAAAATCATGAGATTACATCAATAATGCATATGCGTCGGAGTATCGCAAATATCAAAAGTACAGTGTTTCCATGAAAATTTAGCTATGTTTTTAGCAGTATTATAGGACCATTTGTACCACGCGCATCCAACGATATTGGCGTTCCACAGATCACTGTATTTTCCTCACACCTCTAGTATAAATGATTTGACATAACGAAACTAACAATAATTATAATTAATGTAGTAATGTAGTAATGTAGTAATGTAGTAATAAGTGAATCGTGAATTCTAAATTAAACAATTATTATATAAAAGTGTAAAAGGAAATGTAATTTATTTCCCTATTTTCTTCTATAATATCTTCAATTATTATGTTTAATTTCTATAAATAAACCAACTGGTTAGGTGAAACATTGTGATATAAGATTTTATTTATGTGTCCTATGCGTACACTTGAATATAGAAAACACCTGGAACATTCTTTAAATAATGACCCCTTAAAAAACGCGTGAAATTTTAATTTGCATACGACAACCTTGCTTAGAATGTTGTAAATGAAGTGACATCCACAGATCACTTACTTTTAGAGTGGAAACTGCAATGTTAAAATTCGAGACAGTTTTGTAACACCCGGCGAGCGTTCTTTGAACTATTTGGCGGAAGTGGCGCCATCTCGCGGTCACTTTAGTTAACACAAAACGCGGGAACATTCAAAATTGTCATTCAATATTTAGTTTAAAAGTGGTAGTCAAATTAAGATTTGTTCATACCAACTCCTTTTTTACGTTTATTGTAGCAATAAAATTATATTTGTTACAATAAAGCAAAAAATGAGTAGTATGAACCAATCCTAACTTGACTACAAGTTGAAATATTTTATTATTTATTAGTACAAAAAATTAAAAAGCATGATCAACAAAATTAATTTATTAAAACAAAAAAAATACAAAATAGAATAATTAAATGTAGCCTGTTAATTAGCTGGAAAGTTAAGTCATTGTCCACAGAGGTTGTTTCCCTCATTAGGCGGTTTTGGCTTCCACGATACAATTTTTCCACTCCAAACGGTTTGAAGAAAGTTCGTACTAGAACAAAATAAAAAACAGTATAAGTAAGAACCTGATTCAAATCAATATAAAAATCAAATGTGTTAGGCAGCAGGAAAAGTGAGGCATGAATATAAAAAGGTAAAGTGACTATTACTTCCCTGATTAGGCCGTTTTGGCTTCCACGATGCAATTCTTCCACTCCAAATGGTTTGAAGAAAGTTCGTACTAGAACAAAATAAAAAAACAGTATAAGTAACAATCTGATTAAATCAAAAGAAAAATCAAATGTGTTAGGCAGCAGGGAAAGTGAGGCATGAATACAAAAAGGTAAAATGACTATTACTTTCCTGATTAGGCCGTTTTGGCTTCCACGATGCAATTATTCATCTCCAAACGGTTTGAAGAAAGTTCGTACTAGAACAAAATAAAAAAACAGTATAAGTAACAATCTGAATTAAATCAATATAAAAATTAAATGTGTTAGGCAGCAGGGAAAGTGAGGCATGAATACAAAAAGGTAAAGTGACTATTACTTTCCTGATTAGGCCGTTTTGGCTTCCACGATGCAATTCTTCATCTCCAAACGGTTTGAAGAAAGTTCGTACTAGAACAAAATAAAAAAACAGTATAAGTAATAATCTGAATTAAATCAATATAAAAAAAGTAGTTTTTTCTGAAGATTGTTTTAAACCTTCGCAACTAGTTGAAGCCTCAGAATATGTAACCAAATTGTTTTGATCAACATGCTCGAAATGTATATCGTTCGAAGTTGAAGGAACTTCATCTGGTACATGATCAAGACACAGAACTTCCGATTCTGAGAGGAATAATGTTGGATATGCTTCAACAATTAAACCCCTGAGAGTTTCAGGAACTTTAAATTTATCTTCAAAATGTTTATCACATACTAAATAGTTTTTACGAATTTGTTATGCC